CTAATACAACTTCTTCAATGTACAAATTCATGCATACATGCGGGCAAGTGGCATAGTTCGAACATGTTCTGTTTCTGCGTCTGCATGCACGGAGCACTGCTGCAGTTTTTAAAAAATGATGAAACAAAAATCCTGGAACAAACAGGAGGAATAGGTGGTTCAATTTCTCGGCTTGCCCCGTTATAATCTGGTTTAACAGGCTACATAATGACATAGCGAGTGCTACCTGGTATGCAAGCAATGGACCTGGCCTCCTTCAACACCGACCGCAAAACCAGGTCGCTAGGACTGGTGTCATCAAGCATCTCATCCGAGACCTCCGGGTTTCGGTGTGGAGTTTTGGCCTGTACCCATGGGCCCGATAGTAGTTCCATTTTGGGGCTCATACTTAGAATCCTATAAGGTAATCCCAAAAAGGTACTACTATGGGGCCGATGGGTAGGTTTAGGGGTTCAGGGCTTGAGGGTTTACACCATTAGCGGCATTGAACTCTCAGGAATTAGTATTGCAGCTTAGGGTACCATCTCCGACGAGCCGCTCAAGAGCCCCCCCTGAACACTGTGCCGCTGTGCCCCTGCAATCTCTGTCGATCGGCCCAGATGGGTTGTGGGAGCGCATTCTGACCAGGGTTTCGGTTGTCGAACGAGCTTGCCAGGTAAGGTAGGGGCCTTAATAGTTAGAATAGTGTTTTTGGGGTATATGATACTATAACTATATATGGTAAGGAACGCCCAAAATAGTAATTATTTAGGCCCCTATTGTACCAAAGAGCCACAAAGTTTCAAATGCCAACTTCAACGGCTACAAAGCCGAGTGAGCCTCAGCAGGCGCGGGAAGATCTGCTGGAAGCTGCACGATCTGCTCCTGCACCAGAATACCAAAAGCTCTCCTTCGGCCTGCTCCAAATCAATAAGCAGAACAACTTCCGATTGCCAGAACAACTTCTGAATGCCAGCACAAGCGACAGCAAGATGCTAATGCAGGCAAGTAGGCCTCAGCCCAAACCCCAAACCCCAAACCCTAAACCAAAACCCTAATCCTCAAACCCTAAACCCAGCTTTTTCCGGGGACGGCAGTTGGGAAAACTGTTTCTGCGACGTCGCAGGCCGAAAGCTTCAAGCACGATCCCGACCCAGCCATGCCAGCCCCCAGGCTTAGGGTTTAATGTTTAGGGTTTAGGGTTTAGGGTTTAGGGGGTTTAATGTAGAGGCCTTAGCACCTAGAATAAGGTTCTGGGGTTTTGGGCTCCTTTATCGTATAGTTATAAGTTATAAATAAGAAAATCACTAATTTTGGTAATAGTTTAGGCTTCTAATCGTATAGTTATAAGTTATAAATAAGGAAATCCCTAATTTGGTAATAATTTAAGCTTCTATAGTACGGAGTTTAGGGGACGTGATTCTCGGATACGAGTTGCCTCATCTGAG